ACCCTGGTACTCGGATAAGCAACAGCCTGAAGAAATTGCGCACAATAATTCAATGGGAACGGCCATTCAAGGTGGTCAGACAAAACAAACTTCAAATGTCACTTTTTCTGTAACATTGACGGTATGTATGCAGTAATCCGTCGGGACCAGTATATTATCGTTTAGAAACTACTCGCCAACCATAAAATACCAATTGTTTTTGAAGCGCCATATTGTTGTTTCAATCGCGTACAGAAAACATTTCCAATCAATTTAACTATTTCACCACCACTTGTCCTCTAGCGCAACCAACTATTGTCATCGAGTTTCACATTCGCCGTTATCATCATGCATCATCATATTTCACACACAGATACAAGCATGTAAACAGATGTGCGTGTACTGAAGTGCTACAAATTGACTTTGCTCCCAAATATCTGCGTATTTACTGTACTCAGTATTCAACACTGATATCAAGTTGGTACCCTAACTCAAGTCTGTACACAGAAAAGGCTTTCCGGCCTACGGTTTTGTAACCTTGCCTTCATTACGAATTCCAAATACTTGAAAAATTAGGATCGCACATAAATGAGATTGAATACTTCAACTGTTGGGTTCTTCACAAACGAAGGCCAGTTAGAAATGAAGGCGTTTGCCCTCAAAGGTCGCATAGTCTTTCAGGTTAATAACTTCGTTTATAGGATAAAATATTCGTTTGGTAATTTTGTGCTTTAGCTTCTCCTTAGATGTCTTTTACACCTTATTCTGAAATCCTGAAAACGGTTTGTTTTTATCAAATAAAGGATTAGAGTTGATGTTTTGATTGCAGTCCGTATTCCTCAATAAACCCAAAAACGGGCACAGAATAGAAACCACAAAATGTTCATCTCTCTGAAACGGACTTGTGTTACCTAATGCTTACTGAATATATATTATACAAAGTTTACTAATGAAGAATGTTGGTTTCAGTGCAAACCAGTTTGCAATTCACAAACAAAAGCTACTTCACGGTTTTGAGTGCTGGTTTCATGCTCGGGCAGTTTATGAATTACATACACACCCTAAGTGTATTTCGTTACCTATCAAACTCGTTGCTTGGTCCACAAACTGCCGTGAAAGATTTTCATCCTTTTTTCGAATAATCATCAATAGCAATGCGGGAACTGGAACGAGGAAAAATCGGTTTGTGTGTGTGCATTGCATTGACGTTAGTATTTTCTTTTTGGTGAGCAGCGAAGTGGTCGGTTTGATGCAAAGCCCTTTATTCATACCAAACC